CCCCGCGTAATAATGAACCAGCCCGGTCCCGCGTAATAACGAACCAACCTTACAACACGGTCTTCTCCTTCAATGACCGACCTGTTACACAACGCAGTTTAAAACTTTCTTACTGAAAAGATGCGGCAACATCCAGACCAAACCAACACTTACACAACACCAATTCCGGTTAACACGATCCCTGCAATCAGCAGCCATACTCACTCTCTGTAATGCCTTTACTACAAGGGCTTTTGCCAATTTCGGCAATTAATACAGGCCTTGTTACACTCCAACGTGTGGAGGGAGCAATAGACTTTATTGGGTGGACTACTTCCTTGTCGAGAAAATCTGTGCCGACCACCTATTTATTTCGGATAGGCAACTACTCTGCATGATTCTTTGCGGCGTTGTCGGGCTTGTTGTCAAATCAGCATTATTTTAATAAAGACATTTTATAGTTTGTCGATCCATAGTATGGTTCTATTAGGTGGTCGGATTGAGGAACATCGCTGGCTTCAGAGACTTGATGCCAGAAGCCTCCAGATCATAAAACTGAAGAAAGTGCGGCAGCAGAGGAAAGCGGCGAAACCGCGAAGGAAGAGAAGCAGTTGCGGCAATTTTTGGGGGCAGTGAAAGAAGTAACATATATTTAATTTTAAAATCAAATTATGTGACTCGTACTTGCTCATTAGCACATTTCATTAAATTAGCTTATATTATAGCGAATCGACATTTCTTTTCTGCAGAGGATCTCAATTTTTCACCCGAATGTTTACTCTTGATTTCGACCGCTTATATTAGTTTTAATAGAGTAGAGGACTTAGAGTGTAGTCTAGAGCTAGGAGCAGAAGAGCCGAAGAGCAAACTGTTGGCACAGTTTGAAGTCTTTCAAGAGCGGCTCAACTGTCATGCTGAATCTAAGTCCGAAGCATTTAATTTATTTTTATATTACTATTGGACATTATAGTAGATTGTAAACTTATCAAATAAAACTTTTTTGAAACGAAACGAAAACACCTCAAATGAATGGATTCGGATAATACTATTCACTAAGATCTTGCTGATTATGGACGTCTGTTCACTGAACGAAACATAGTTACTTAGTCGTAATAATGTATTAAAAGAGGACGAATGATTCGATTTTATTACGCTATCTCACATCATAATTGATGGTAATTGGTGGTGGGATGATGAGGATGCTGAGTTTGACTCGAACAGCACTCGAGTCGTTCACCTTTTAAAAGTCTAAGAAAGTTGGAAAATTTTGTAAGCTGCTGGCACAACCCAACAATACATCGATAATTTTATAGAGCACCAAGTATACAATATGTATTATTATAACTCAAGTTGCAACGGAAGAAACTGTGCGCATCGTAGGAAGAAACTATAATGCTATTATATTTTGCCCGGTGAGACTTTGTCAACAGATTCTTTTGTTATTATTATTATTATATAGCCGTGTCAGATATACCAACCCTAACGCTAATTTTGTCTTCGGAAATGATCGACAAAAAATTTCGAAAATGTCAGGTGTTTGAAACATTTGCCGCAGAAATCAATTTTCAATGCCCGTTCATAATTTCTATGACAATTAGAAATTTCCATTCTTTCTAATCATGGTTGGTTTAGAATACCGTCGACAAATGTACATAGCTCGACAATTACCAGGTCAATTCATGCCAACTTTTTCAGTTGTCATTGGAACCTCAGCCTTGTAATTGTGTTGGGCAGTTGTTGAGATAAATGTCCACGAATCAGAGCATTTTAACCACCCCACCTAAGTTTAACTCATCAGCAATTACAAAGCATTCCATTTAAGAATTATCCCTGTTAATGTTGACTGCAGCTTTAGATATGTTTACCCAAAATGCGAATAATACACAGTATTAGATTATTAGTAGATATTCCGCATCTACCCATGCATGAGAATTTAACAACAGCATTTGGGGCATGTCTTGCTGAGTGAATGGGCGTGTTATGATTAGAATTCACGAAAAACTATCAACAAATAAATATTACTATGATGGCATCATCATTTGTCATGTGTTTGTACTACATTAATGGCAGTAAATTATTACTTAAACCATGTCTTTTGCGTAACACACTAAAACTTCCTATATGCCGATCCGTCACTGTCCATTATTATAAATTTATTGAACATAACCATGAGTAACAAGTCGTAGTCTACCATGGAGCCACTACATATACTTGGTACACTTGCGGCTGCTGTCACCGGCGTAAGTTTAGGCTGTCCGCAAGCGATCTCTACCTGTTAGATCTCTAATTGCGCGGTTGAATTCTTGTGTTCTTACATTGTCGTTCTCCCCCAAAATTCGTCAAATCATTGACTGATTCTTTCAAGTCAACCGTAACTTTGTTCATATTCTATCGTTTTTTTTAGGTGGTTGTTTTACTAATAGTAGCAGCACCTAGACCTCGAAAGCCGACAGAATCTGAAAAGTACTATCGTTCAGCTACTTCTAATGAACCTCAACGTCTTTGTAGTATATTTGATGAAGCAAATAGGGATCTGACTGTTATCGTTCCAGCATACAACGAGACGCAACGACTACCGATAATGTTGGAAGAGGCCATTATGTATCTCGAGGAGCGAAAGTCTAAAAACAAGAAATTTACATACGAGATAATGATCGTGGATGATGCGAGTACGGATGGCACATCAGAAATTGCATTAGATTTTGGTAGAAAATATAAGAACATAGATCTGAAAGTCTTGAGGTTAGAGAAGAATAGACGAAAGGGTGGATCAATTACTCAGGTGTGAAGGATTTATGTTCTTGTTAAATTGGTCGAGCTTGCATGCATGTTAACCCGTGTCCTTTGTCTCTCTATCTCTCCATCCGTCTCTCTCACACACATCAGGGAATATTATCCTGCGGTGGTAAATATGTATTATTTGTTGATGCGGATGGAGCAACAAAGTTTTCGGATTTGAGTGATTTGGAAAACGAACTGAAGAAAATAGAACGAGATAGCTATGGAGTTGCTGTTGGGTCTCGCGCACATCTAGTGAACACTGACGTTGTGGTAAAGGTAGATTGAATCGTGACAAATATGGTTATTAATGTTTGTTTTATTGTTCTTAACTTGTAATAATATTTTGTGCCTTTTCTACAGAGGTCGTTTATCCGTAACTTTCTCATGCATTCATTCCATAAAGTACTCTTTATACTTGGGATACGTTCGATAGCTGATACACAATGTGGATTCAAACTATTTACTCGTAAATCGGCCCTGAAAATATTTCACAACATGCACGTAGAAGGATGGATATTTGATATCGAGGTTCTTTTGATTGCACAATATTTTAACATGCCCATAGTCGAGGTTCCTGTTAACTGGCATGAAGTCGATGGATCAAAAGTGTCGTTGACAAAAGATTCAATTCAAATGGCAAAGGATTTGTTGATTATTAGGTTAAGTTATCTATTAAGGTTATGGAAGATTCGAGACCCACTGGCGAGGAAGAAGCAAGAATAGATCCTCTAGTAAACTATCTTGAACATGTATCTAATGTGGGTTGATCAGACAACTAATGCCTTGTAATTTACATTTTATTTATCGACGGCTGTGTTACTTTTTGGAGCAATGTTATTATATTATTACATCTAGCTCATAGTTTTAATGTAAATAGAATGAATAGGGAGGCGATGGGTAAAACATGGGTATAGTGATCTCATTCGTATGTCAAAAAATCAGATTCGTGCGTATGACCAAAGCGGAACAATAAAGAGCAAGAGTCTTGTTCGCTATCGTTGACAAAAGTCTAAATGGTAACGTTAAAGGGGACAATTGAGTGCACAAGTGTTCTCCGCTCTAATGGGGTGAAGTTATTCCTCGAGTCCCTTTCTGATCCATTCTCAGACGCAGGAAAGGGTAAATACTCATCTTAAACTTGTTGCGGTGAATGTTCTCTGGGCATAGGGTTCGTTCGAATTGCGACTCTTTCCTCTATGGTTTCGAAACTAATTCGACCCACTGCAGATTTCATCTGGGAATGATTTTACTGAGGAAAGGTCCTATCTGGGATGGGAGATCAATGTTCGGGACTTGTCTATTTGTTTCAGATCAGGAGAGATTGACGGACGCTATCTTTTTTCCCCTTCCTGCTACTATGTCAGCATAGTCTGGCACTGGTTTTATCCTCCCTTAGTTGCTTTTCCAGGAGATTGTCCGATCCAAATCTGCCCGTGAATTCTGGATGGGGTAGTCGTAATCGATGGCCTCAGATTTCCTTTTTTGGTGCAGACATACTCGAATCTGATCTCAGCTCTCGAGTATAATTCCTTGTTCTGCAGAACAAAACTTGCTATTTACGAATTTCAGCTTTATTCTGTACGTAATTTCGCGTGCTTGCCAAATTTAGCGTGTACAATATACCACAATTATATGCATTTCTCGGCAAAATTTGTGTCACAAATATTGTACATTGTATGGAATTACTGAATTGAACAACAATATCAACAATAGTGAAACCGTGAAACTGTCATTACGTTTTCATAAACATTATTGAGGATCAATGTAGTCGTTGTACTAAACTTTTGTGCAATGACATTTCCTAATTAGACGCTTCAAAACACTCTCTTGAAGGAGACATTTACAGTAAATCTAATGTTGCAAATATAAAGGCGAGATGGACATATCGATTTGAGTAACCAGCTTATTATGCATATACATGGGTAGCCAGGATCTGGAAACGTGCAACAAAGTTATCTGATCGATATGAGGAATGAATGCGACTAATAATGTCGACGCGCATATCCGCGATGCGACAACAAGTAGTTTGAAGTCGGTGGAACATTAAAGTTCTTTATAAACTGCCGTCTTACATGTGCGCATGTACTGTAGGTAACATATTAACTTTATTTCTATTCCCCATCCACACACCACTTCAACGTTTGCTGTTCCCCAATGTAAATTTGGATTGTTCCTTATTCGCATTACTTCCTGTCTTGCCTCTCCTTCCTCTTCATCACAAGCGAAAGACAATGCAATGGTCAAGAGAATTTCCGAAACGCTGTCATTACTTGTTCATAAACAGTAAAGATAATCCCTCCCGAAAACTAAACAATAATAAAAAGAGTTGATCAATAATAGAACGTAAATACTGATCCGGTTTTTTACTTCATCGCTTTTCCAATCAACTTACCAACAATCTACCCAAACGCGGCGTGGCACCCTTCCACAATGCAGGCACTCCCTCTGATCTCACGACAGTCCAAAAGCAGTGGAACGAGTTTTTATACATAGTCTTTGCATGCAATCCTTGCATCTTTGTCTTCACCACATCCAATGGCATCGTTGTGTACACGGTCACTGTCCCAGCAATAGCACCGATAGCAAAAGTCACACTCCACGGTAACGGCTGACCAGGTATTGTCCATTTCTGCAGCTCTTGCTTGAGAGTGGAATACGTTGAGAAACGAACTGCCTGATTAGCACCCTGACGCATCATCACGGGAAACAGTCCTCGGTATACACCGCCAAAACCCTCTTGTCGGACGATTGTACTGACTCCTGTTTTGACGAGAATTTGATGATTTTTTTTTTTAAAAAAAAAGTATTCGGTGAAAAAGATTAAACGTTCAAGATGAAAACTTTTGCATACCGTGAACCAAGCCTTTATATTTTGGAACCGCTGCTTGTGAATCGTGAATAAGTTTCGTTCTATTTTGTAAACAAGGCGGCCGAATGAGCATCAATGCTTGCTAATACAAACGTGTATAACACAACCCACGTACTTTATTGTTTCAGTAGGAGTTACCACTAGAATAGCCTCTGTCATTCCAGCTCCCAAACCAGCTTTGAAACAGAAATTGTCGTTTAGTAAACCAGGTTATAAGGCCAACAAACAAATATCCTCAATGTCCCAATTCCCAGTCTCTCGTTTCAACTCCTGCAATAATGCCTTATCTCTCTCACTCACTCACTCACGCACACACACACACACACACATACCTATCATCGATCTGGGTCCACTAACATGGCCATTCTCATCTGCCAATAACTTCTTGATCTCTTCGTACGTCAAGAACCTGATACCTGCTTTAGCAGCTGTGCCTATAACCAAAGCAGACAATCCACGATAAAGAGCAAAAAACCCCCTTTCGCGAACTGTTTGGGTCAGACAGTCTAAAGGACCTTTGTATCTCTAATTAACAGGAGGGGAACTAATTTTAAAAAAAAGAACAGCAGAAAAAAAAAAACTTTGCATGACAATGATATTCTACATGAAATAGATCAATGCAATCGATAACTGTACTTGCCTTGTCTAATTGCAGTTGTGTCTTTACGAATTCTGTAGGATACTGTAAAGTTGACGCGAAACATGGTCAAGGATTGGGTGTGAGAGCGTAGAGAAACAAGGGAAAAAACCACTTATTACGCACGGTTATGGTTGCTTCAACACCACCGGCCACACAGCCAGCCAAAAGTGAGTGCAAGGGGCGGTCCTGAATTTGTGAACTTTGACTGAATTAGAAATGTTATCAGCAATTTAAATGGCAGGAATTATTTGCTACCTTCTTCTTTTCAGTCATTCTATCTGCTATTATAAGCACAGCTACTATTCGCACACAGCCTAATTGTCTGTAAGAAGCTGTTCTATATGAACTGTCTATTACTGTTACTCAGTAAACCCAAATATCGTAATAACCAACTGCATACCGGGCTGTGTAATGTCACAGTTTAAACCGTCCTATTAAAATCGTCTTGTAATTGGGTTGACCATGTGGATTTTGGGGACCATCCATTTCAACGCGTATCTGTGTGGAAAGCATGTGTTTCATGCATCGTCCATGTAAAGGGAAGAAGCAATTCATTGTTCAAATAATATGTATATTAATATGGCTGATTATGGTAGTGACATCTTATTATTAAGCCGGGGATGACAACAACGATCGTTTATATGTTAAAAATAGGTGCTTACAATTTTGGTAAAAACTTGGAATTTAACAATCAATCCTTCTAAGTGCTAATTGACGAAATTTCGCATTCGATAGATCGGGATGATTAACACGGGCTTTCTGTTTACTGGCTTTCATGGTCGCATATGGACCAACCATTAGCGAGTTAAACGTTTATTCCAAGTATCAAGTTTTAAATTCTCTAATACTAAACACACAATCTCGTAGACAATATCGTAGCGATAGCCCGCCTCAAATACCGAGAATTCTCTTACCCAAACTGCACGTATAAAAAAAGGGGTGATATTACGATCATGCTCGTTGAGCGCGAATGAGTAAGTACCTGTGATGGTTCAGGGCAGATAGTGTTTTCTTGAATTCAGAATCTGCCCTTTAAAGTTAGTATGACGAAAAAGTCTTGCCACATTCTTTACATCAATCACTGGAGACCATATTTAAAAAACACAAGTATATTCCCAACTTTATTGTTTACGGACCGAAAAATCGCCTTGGCGAAAGTGGTCACTCGTACTACCAAAATATTGCGTATCATGCTAACTATCATATGAAAAAGAAAATTTAAAAAAAAAAAGACAAGTATTTTTTCCTCATTTGGGGGAACGATTTTTAAAAAGCCACCCCAACCCCTTTTCAAAATTTGTGTTATTATTTATATTTACTGTATTTATTGCGAATTAAGAAACCCAACCACGAAATAATCAATCCAATATGAATGTTCTTTAAACAATATACTACAGATTGACAGATTTATTTACTGCGTACAGTTGGTAAAAAAGACGACTATTTTAAAAAGCAAATTTTAAATTGTTCACAAATAAACAAACAGCAATTAACTAAGATCGTAATTATGTAGCGGATGGCTGTGCTGTAAGTGCTTGAGCCTTCCCCTCCAAGTCTGGTACTATGTGACGCTTCAAATCCATTTGGTTATCGAGAATGCCATCCTAAGATTAATCGTGTGAGATACTGTCAATGGACGTTAATAACTAAAAAGCAATAATATCCGATCAATACATACCATATCAGCTTTCCGTTTCTTGTATGTCGTTGGCTCTTTCAACAACGATCCTATACTACTATTCTCACGTGACGACTGTTGACTCTAAAAAAAAACCAGTTTTGAAAAATTCAACGGTGAATAACTGGAACTTGTAGTAATCCTCGGAATTTACTCATCGGCAACAAACCTTGGTAACATCGGCATGACAAGTTGCATGATAGATGACGCCATCTACCATCACAGCATTCTTTAACAGCCACTCTTCCTCAGCATCGGAATAGAAACTCTTAAACTTTTCCTGGCAAATCGGACAGGGTTTGTTGATTTTATCAATCGGAGCAATGACAGTCGACTCGGCAATGGTATCTTTTGAATTCGCCGCAGCGTTGGAAGATTTTGTGGATGTGGAGCTATGGGCGGCGTTTGTTGCTGACGATGCACTGGCGTCATCTTCTCGTACGTGGATCCAATCCTGAACAGAGATGAAAAACAATTGTTATCATATATGTGCGATAGGTGGAAAAAGATGGATAAATTTCATAGCTTATAAACCCTCTTTTTTTAACCCAAACATCTAAATGTTTCAACATACCTCTTTACTGACAAACCAAGCGCGCGTCTGCGCTTTCTTGGCTTTCTCCTTCATTCGACGATTTTGTCGAAAATGCCGATCCAGATGAGCATCCATTTTTGCCTTACCTTCCTCGGTCTTTGCATACCTAAATCCACATTGCTTACACTGTGCAGGATACGCATCATAAAGTATCGACACTGCTCCTTCTCGACGTCTACAAATATGGTGTGCGTGAGAGTGTGTGAGTACCAACGGGGGAAATACAGAAAACGCAGGAATCGACTCAGTAAACTCGACAACATTGAGACACGTATTCACTAACCTCTGAAGCTCGGCACTCGTCAACTCAATCTTGCCCAACTGATCAACATGAAGAATTCGTACATCCGTGGTCTGCGCTCCGCTTCCATTTCTACGGCTAGAAGTCAATCTCAACGTGGCAACTCCAGGTGTTAGCAAATTGTTAGTATTCAACGTGCCATTTGGGTTCAATAAGCCATGTTCCATTAGATTTCTGATCAGCGTTGTTGGATCAGTGACACCACCAAGAGGTTGTAGGGGCATAGTGGGCTGCATCTGGGGAGGTGGCACTTGCGGCGCGGGATGCATTTGGACGGGCCTAGCGACATTAGCTAAATTAGCAATGTTTGCAATATTAGCAATGTTTGCAATGTTCGGGACGCCCGAAATGCTTCCGGTAAATGCCGGCTGCACGCCTGGTGCAATATGCGGTTGCGGCGGCGGGGGCTGCGGCTGAACAGTCGCATTATTACCAAACGCTGTATTTTGGCCAGCAATCAAGGCGGCAAGATCAGATGCACTCGAAAGAGCGGTAAGAGTTGACATTGTTTGTTTATTGAAAGATGCAGAAACAAGAGGCGATGGCGCGGTTGGGGCTGTATTAGGGTATGTACTGGAGATCTGAGAACGAAGCGTTGCTATTTGGTCTGGTGTGAGTGGCGTTTTTTGCATTATGTCAATGATCTAAAATTCGGGAAAGAAGATTTGGATATGGAGGAAAGAGTGTTTCGAAACGAAAAAGATTATTAGGCAAAGGGAAATAACAATATTGAAAAGAATCACCACATCGAAAACAAGTGAATGGGGTATCGGATGTATTATCGAGCAGATGATTAACGTATTTCCGCACAGGTTATCCCAAATCCCCCACTCCTCACCTGCTGCAAAGCAGAGATCTGACTATTGTTATTATTAATATCTCCCGGGTTTCCTGGGTTCATCAAAGCATACTGCTGCCTCTGGACAAGCAATGCCCTATATTCTTGAATCAACTGGGATTGGTCACCAGATGGAACAAATACCTGATTCTGTGGGACTCGCTGTGGACCTGCTGTTGTTGCTGTTGTAAACTTTTATATATATGGGAAGAGAGAAGAACAGAGAAAGAATGAATCAGAGTTTTAAGAATAAACCAGTGAAACAAGGATTATGACAAAGTTTGTTATCTTTTATGCGAGAGAGAGAGAGAGAGAGCAATGGGGATAGGAGAGAGAGAGAGGAGAGGATGTAGGGGATGGATCGTAGGGTAAGGGAGGGAAAGTGGGAAGGGAAGAAGGGAGGAGAGAGTGAAAAGGTAAAAAGGAATAGGCACGGAGGAAGATGGGTTTTCTTTAGAGCGTGTTGACAATATACTAAAGGCATATGATTTGAAGGACATCTCTATTGCGATGGTCATCGAGCTGGTGGATGGAGTGGTGTCAACCGTTGTGAAGTTTATGATGGTGCCTGCTACGATAATCTCCAGCGTGGAGATACTGTCAATAAATATTTGTATTCTTTTTACAGACAAATGTAAGTTTCTTTCTGTAACTATGCTATATAGTCTTTGTTGTTAGCTGAGTTCAGGCCTTTATTCGATTGCTTCCTCTTGTAGTAATAAGAATCGTACTATTCTTGTCTTCGTTTCTTTTGCATACCAGACAGATTAGATGTATCAATATTAATCTCCTTTTTTTTTTCCTTCCCTTTAGCATCTTTCATACCCCTTTCTTTTGACGCCTTTCTTTTATCTTTTTACTTTTGGTTTTTCTTTTTTTTCTTTACTCTATTTTTTTTTTTCCCTTTTTTTTTCTTTTTTTTTTCTCTTTCTGGCGCTTCTCATTTATAGTATATAACTTTCCATTTTGTTAACATCGAATTGCTTGTGTTATTAAGTTTTTTTTCTCCTTTTCGAAGACGATCATTGTAACAATCCGTAACGTATACTCAAGCACGAACACCCGAATTAATCAAACACCATAACATAAATCATTCCACAAGAAAAAAAAAATAAACAGATAGAAAATCAACGACAGAAAAAAATACAAATGAAAAGAAAAAAAAAACGTTCATTGTGTAAAAAAAGTGTGTTTCAGTGAGAAAGGAAGACAGAAATGTGCAGGTACATCAAGTATTTATAGAAAGTTTCCTTCAGTAGAAACGAAATCATTGCGACGAGATGAGACGGCTCAGGCAGCAGAATGTGTCCTGCTCTTTCATTATTCCGTCTCTTCCCCTCTTACTCCATATTACTTTTTGTCTGCTGATTCTACACGTATGCGACACAGAAACCAGTTTCCATCCTTCCAGTACCATCCACAGTCTACCATCATCACACTCCCAAGAGCAAATATATAGGACGGTGCAAACACATAACAAACATAACAAATGTGGTAAGAGAATACGGATGCAATAACAAAACAAGGCTTACCTGCTGAGTAGTGAAATATCCCTGTTTATATGAAGGAAGAGCAAAACGGGTCGATGGAATTGATGGTTGTTGAGCATTTGGTGCTTGCGTTGTTTGTTGTGGTGTGGGTAATGGTTGTTGTGGTGCAGCTAGCTGCTGCGGTTGTGGTTGTTGTGGTTGCTGTTGTGGTTGTTGTGGTGGTTGCTGTTGTTGTTGCTGTTGCTGTTGTTGCCGTTGTTGCTGTTGTTGTTGCCGTTGTTGCTGTTGTTGTTGCCGCTGTTGTTGCTGCTGCTGTGATGGTTGCGGTTGTTGTGACTGCGGTTGTGGTGGTGGTTGCTGCGGTGGTTGTTGTTGTTGTTGTTGTTGTGATGGTTGATATGGAGGTAGTGTATTTTGGTTCTGGAAAATAAATGATATGACAAAAGAATAGACACAAGTGGACAGAATGATTAGCAATCATTATGAGTTTACGTAATTCGCTTTAACAGTTTGTGTTAATTAGGAAATGTGTGACGGAAGATAAGCGCACATCCGATGTGGCAATGTTTCACCATCAACCAAGAGAATGTATCTGCAATATATATCCTTTACTTTTTCGTAAGTTTCGTCGGCCCAGATTTATCCACGCACTGCGCCCATCACATTCCCAACCCACAACCCATCCAAGCCTGAATACTTACTCTACCAGCCAAAAAGTTGGGATTGATATGTATACCAGACCTTCCACTATCGATTGTCCTTGGATGTTGCCTCGATAAAGATCGCTCTATCAAAGATGTAATCTCCTGCGGAAACACTGGGTTTCCATTAAGTCCTTGTTTCCAAGTAGACAGAACCTTCTCTAATTTTTGTTTTGTGCCCTGATCGACTACATTGTAAGCATCAAGAAACGTACGAGCTAAATTATGTGAGAATATTTGGATATATATCCCTCCAACATTTTTGCTTATCGAGTCTAGGAGGTAGAGCACTGGTAGTTTGAGTTCAGGCGCCGCCTGTAGGGGAAAAGAAAAGCCAAGAGGGGCGAGTGAGCACATAATGATAACCAAGTCAGTTCCTTTTACTTTGGCTATCTCGTTAGATGGTATGGATGGCATCTATTGTTTGAGCATCCTACTTACATTCCGTATTCGGTCCTCTATAGCTTGTACTATGGCATTTGCTGCTTTTATGTTCTCCTGCGCTATAATAGTCAAGTGAGTGATCATCGGCTTTGAGTTCCAAGTGAGGTCTGCCAGAGAGGCCCTATAGTCCTGTCGAACACTTTCTAAATCTATGTCTGAGCTGTTCATTGTGTTAGTATGTCTATCTTTATACAACCTAGCTAGTTTCGCCGTCTTTTGAGTATATATACTATATAATTTTGGGGGCCTTGTCTTAGTAATAAACGATAGTGGGCAAGCGTTTCAACTCGAAATGAGTAAAAAAAAGAATAGCCAAGATCATGTGATATGTGGCGTTGAATGGAACATTGTTAAACGCATAATATCATGATTTTAATTCCAGGGGGGACAGATAAAGTGCCCACACGCTTGGGGAAAGGGAGTAGGGCCACATATTAATATTAATTAAATTGAAAGTACCAATAATAATTTAAAAAAGGATTCGAACAATTTTCATTTGCAAGTGTAGCAAATTCATGTTAAAAGAGAAAATGTTGTAATACACCTTGAAGATAATTGTATGGAATACACTTTGATAGATAATTGTATGGTATTCACTATTCACAATACCTTGATAGATGACGATACACAGTCATTTGTCTCAATGAGCAAAATAGCTCAATCAACCGATGTTATTTAGTGACCATATGATTATATAATGATATGCACTGCAAAGAGAACCGGGTATAAAGAGAGCGTGCTCATCGTGAAAATACAGTTAATGAGAGAAAACATTACTATTACATGTATTACATGCTAGCACTAATGCAAATTAGCAGTTTTGCGTGTGCAGATTGTATGAAAACCAAATCAGTGACGCATGCGTTATGATCTACGTGCGAAATGACCTTTTGTGTATGCTTTATTTGTACATATAGCAACGTCATCTAACATATGATTGTCATTATAATTACGCGGCATGTTCAACAAGGAACTCGCCAGATTATAAGGAGGCCAACAAAGGGAGAGGGGACATACAAAGTGGATATACGCCACGGAGAATTTCAGGGGGTCTAGACTGCTGATTGTAATTAACCGGTTTGACTAATATTGTCATAATCTTACTTGAGCACAAATCAACTGACTGCGAGGGTCGCTGAAATGCGGGCTGAATGTACAGTCGAACTAAAAAGGGGAAATTAACAAAGAAATCAGGGAATAAATATCTATTCCAGAAATGTTATTCTGGTTGAGCGGTAAATGGATCAACTCGGTCCAAACAAGGATGTAAAAGTAAAAGGGCTGACGACTTTACCAGTTCATAGGTAGCAATGAGAATAAGGTTCAAGGTTCACCTCCTTGTAAACATTTCGTCATGTTTCGAAACTGGCGGAGAAGATTCCGATCATATTAACGATAGATAGATAGAGAATTCGAACGTTCTTTGTCACCGTTCAGGTGATACAAAATTGGTTTGTACTTCAAGATTGTATCACGAATTCTCTAGAAAGAAAACTTTGTTTGAATAAAGAAAGCATACTTCGTATTGCATCAAAGAACCAATTTATTCAACAGACAAATTAGCTATTCGCATCTATATGGTAACGTGCACTCAACGAACGTATCATGTTTCTGACTGATGCTTGATGGATCACAGAATTTATCGTTAACATTCTCGCGCTTACTAACATTGATCAACAATCTTATCAAACGCAAGTATACAAATGTGCTTTGGACTGTTGTTATATTATTATCTTTGAATTTTCGCTTTAACATAAATAATTTACAGCCATTCGACAAAATCAAAATCGACGAGCTAGTATGAGAAACTATGTACTACGAAAAGGCTAGGCTGAACACTCAAATCCACTAATTACGAAGAGAAACGGTGTTACTATACCTATTTAAGAGACTTTTACCGATAAAACCCAACGGTTGAAAACCGACTGTTGAGGATAGATTAACTAAGAAAGTAAATACCTGTAATGTTACCAATAATATGTAACACGAATTGCGAGAATATCGATAATTCGCATTTGAATGTTTCCTCTAAGCACTGAATTTAAAAGCGCAAAGTAGTAGAAATGTTATAGAGCACGAATGCAACATTAGCCCTTTAAGGTTTTATATTAATTATCTTCAAAATCAATATTAAAGTTGCAAAAGACCCTCTCTCCAGGAATACAAGCTTAAATTACTAATTTGCAAATTTTGCGACTGAAGTCAAACTAAAAACAGAAACATAGAAAAATAATAATCAAAAGCAGTATCAGAGCAATTAATCAAACGCAAACAATGGTAATAGAGTTTTTGGAGACAAACCCGTAAAATACAGATACACAGTCAACCTCCCGTTAATCCGAACCCCGTTTAACCGAAGGACTAAGTAAACGCTAAACCGAAGGTAAGTTCTAAAACCTCTATGTTAAATTTACCCCGATAAACCGAATTTACTAATTGAACCCGTTAAACCGAATTTCTTGGCATTTCTTACCTATGTTCCCGACCCATTCGGTTTAACGGGTTCACTATGTATTTAATTTGAAGATCTCTTTGCAGAAAACAGTCTTGAAACTGTTAAACAAGTAGGGCACCAAGAAAATATTGCCAATGCCCCCATCAATTTACTAATAATAATGATAATATAGAATTAAAAAATTAAACAATAGAATCAATGCAAGTAACTGGTACTATCATAACCGATGCAATGAGAAAACAAGTTTTGTGGCTCAGCCAAAAAAAAAAAAAGCTTGTTAAATGCTGACGAGAATAATGCAAGCCAAGCATTATGCATATAATAGTTGCAACAAACAATTTCTACGTGTGTATTCTCAAACTTATAGCTCACGTTTTTGTTACATGTTCCGTGCCGTGTGCTAGTATAATAATATACGACATTTGATAATTAGCTCCTATTCGACCTTTTGCTTCTCAATTAGGTCCCCGCTTTTCCAGCTAAGTTTTCCAGCACACTCTTGTCTCGATATATTTTAATTGTAAATTTCGAAGAACTCGGAAGATCTGTGCTAAAACAAAAGATCAAAGACTTCCTGGAAAAATAACGAGTACATAGCAAAAAGCGTTGCAAGATTTATTCAAAACTGCGACGGATATGTCTACAAGTTTTATGTTGCCTTGAACGCTGTACATAATTCTAACATACCTTTCTTGTTAGCTTTCATAATAAATATACATCATCTTCAAGTAAAGACACTGCTGCTTTTCGTTTTTACTGCTCTCAATCTGAAGTCTTACTAAAAAATCCAAAAAAAAAATGTCCATGGCTCGGTTTAACCAACGGAATTTTGAAAGTAAAATTCTATGGGGAAAATTTAAATAGAGTGATCTCAAATTTAGACATGATTTCCTTCACACACGTTAAGAAAATTATGGTGTGACACCAGAAATTAAAGATAATACCAAGATTCGGCAACAGTTACATTTGACGCCTAAAGAAATTTACGCCTCGTTGAACTATCCAGACCTTGCCCAAAAGCAAGTTCATTATTGGTGGACTCAACAAATTCAAGAGATATACAAAAAGAACGACAATCAATTAATTTCTGTTAAGTTTCTCTTAGAAGAGGCTCATCTTAACGTTTTGATGTACCGTTATGAGTCTGCTAAGTGTATTGGATGTTTAACAAATTTTTTCGATATTTTGAAAAATAATCACAAAATAATTTGTGATGCTACATGTAAGTAAATAATGAATTAATCATAAATAATTTGAACGCTGCTAATGCATTATCCTTACAGATAAAACAAATGCAATAGGTTTTGAACTTTATGCTATTGTCGAGTAAATTAATGGAGCTGGCTATCCAATGGCATATTTATTCTTTGGTACTGCAGCAAATACGGTCGGAGCTCGGACATCAGCACTTACTCGATTTTTCAGCACATTACATCTCAACGGTTTGCGACCAGAGTTTTTCCTGACGGATAAGGATTGGGTGCAAATTAACGCTGTACGACAAGCCTGGCCTACAACAAAAATTCAGCTGTACTTATTGGCATCTACGAAGAGCTGTGAAAAAAAAGCTTGCCGACAGCTCAGTCAACACAAATATTTATGATGCCGAATACGCTAACCGAGAAGTAAATTTTATCGATGTAACTTTCATCCATTCCCAAGAGACCAAAGTACAGGCATTCGTTCAAGTCAGAATTGTGATATCCAAGGAAGCTTCGCGAAACAATTTTAGAAATAATATCATCTCCACCAACGACATTATCGATCGACATCCAAACGAGAGACGTGACATGTCGGAAGGATAAATCTCTCAAACCGTAACAGAGCTACAGCAAATCCACACGTAACTGATGTCACAAAATGGGTGTGTAGCTGCCGGGCTTTTTTGCTAAATCGTTGGCCAATGTGTTATCATCTAGTTCTGAGGGCTCCAAATTTAACCGTTTTTAAGACATCCAAGTTTACAAGCTGAGAAGGATTTGAGTTTTGAAACTAGCAATGCAACCCCTTGTTTATATTGATATGTAGTGTTGCGGTCGGTGTATTCTTTGGGTGGGAGAGCCAATGATCTGTCGCGTAGGTGTGTTCACCGACAGGGGGATG